GGCTAGATTGAGAGAATCAGGGATACCTGGGCACAGAAACAGAGGTGGGGGTGCGGATGAGATTTGAACTAGGGCTAGAGAAACATAACTTGGCTCTCTGATATACTGGTACCAATGGAAAAACCTTTGTCTTTTTCCATTCTTTCAGTCAGCAGTAGGAGATGATGGGGGGGGGTGTTTCACAAGGCTAGAGGGGGGAGGTAGAGACTTGTAGAAGATACATGCCCTGGGCCCCACATTCCCATCCTCTTTTCCCAGGGACCAGACCATAGGAGGGTGTTGAAGGATAGTGTTTCAAATCTTCCTCTCCATAGGAGACAGCAGAAAAGGCCATGGCTGTGTTTCTAACCTCTTCTCAGCTCCTCAGCAACCACAGCGCCGAGGATAGAAAGAAACTGGAAAGCCTAGGATCTCTGAGTCATCAGCCCCTATCCTATAGACATGCTGAGGGAACATGAAAAGTCTCTAGCTCTACCTTCAATTTTGCTGCTCCAAGAGCTCCCATGTCCCTCTGGGGAATTTCCTGGAATGAAGAGCCCTCATGCCCCACTTCTCTCCCATAGTTCCACAATCCCCACAATGAGCCAAGTCACATCTCTGGCCAGTGGAAGAAGGGGCAAGCAGCTAGGTGAGGAGCCCCTACCAGGGACTCCCACAATGGCCTCCTATTTCTTTCCCTCCAGCACTGCCCACTCCCCCCACCCCACACACACATTCAACATACAGCTATTATCTTAGAGGTCTCTCTTTCTTAGTCAAACTCCCTGAAAAGGCCATCTGCTCCAAGTACATCCACTTTCTCTCCTTTCACTCTCTTCTAAACCATCTTCGATCTGGCTTCCTACTTTATCACTCAAACTGCTCTTTCCAAATTACCAATGAACTCTTAATTGCCAGATCTGATTGTCTTTTCTCAATCCTCATCATTCTGGGCCTCTTTATAGTATTCAACACTATTGATTACCTTTTCTTTCTGGACAGTCCCTCCTGCCTGGATTTGCATGACACCACTCCCTCCTGGTTCTTCTCCTACCTGTTTAACTGCTCATTCTCAGTCTCCTTTGTTAGATCATTCCTGATATGTGTGAGTATACCCCAAGACTCTATCTCAGGCCCTTTTTTCTTCTCTTTGAACACCTGGTGACATCATCATTATGATCCTCTTTATGCAGATAACTCTAGTCCCACGTTACCTATTGGACATTTCAAAATGGGTGTCCAGGAAGCATCTACAGCTTAACATGTTTAAATTATTTTTTCCCTCCAAAACCCCTCTTCTAAATTTCCCTTTACTGCCAAAGGAATCACCATCTTTCCGGTCACCTACATTCCCAACCTTGAATCAGGGTATCCAACCACAGAATGCCAAATCTTTTCATTTCTAATTCTACAACATCCCTCCAATATAGCCTCTCTTTTCACACAGGTATCACCCTAGGTCAGGCCCTCATCGCCTCTCACTTAGACTATTTATTACAAAAAGGAGGCTATTTTCCTATTTGGCCTCTGGGGTCTCAAGTTTTCATCTCTCTGCCAGGAAGCTGCCAGAGTGATTTTCCTAAAGTGCGGATCTGACCACATCACCCTGCTCTTCTGTAACTCCGGTGGTTCCTGTTACCACTAAGATCAGATAGAAAATTCCTCTGTTTGGTCTTTAAAGATGATGCCCCACCTCGCACCTCTCTGCCTTTGTACCAGCTGTCCCTCACATTTGGAGTGATTTCCTCCTCACTTCTATGTCTTGGGAATCCTGTAAAACTCCAGCATTTCCTGACCTCTCCAGCTGCCAAACGCCTCCCTTCCCAAGCTACCTTTTATTCATTTGGTATCCATTCTGTATGCTTTCATCTATGTACGTGTTGTTTGCCCTATTTCCTACCAGCTCCTTGTGGGTGAGCACTGTTCAAACTTCGAATTCCTAACTCTTAGTATTGGGGTGAATAAGAAATGCTTGTTGATTGCTAGAACCCAAACATTCCCAAATCCTGAAGACTAAACTTGAAGTCATAAATGTGACTGAGAAGGGATCGGAACAGAGGAATACCGGGGTATGGTGCTAAGACCCCTTGGCCCTCACCAGGTCTCCTGGTGTCAAGGGGTGCGGAAAAACCCACTAGGTGTCTTTGGGAGGGAAGGAGGAGGGAAATTGTTTGGGGGTAGGGAAATTCTCCTCCCCAGTGCTTTTCCTTTAGGGTCTGACATCTTCATATCAAGCTGCTTTCCAAACCTAACCAATTCCATCTTTGCGTCTCTCTCTTTTCTTGTCTCCCCTGCTACTCCCTCCTATTTCTGTCTGGGGTATATCTGACTCTTGTTACCCAGGGTGGAGGGTGTGTGTATGGAGAACAACAGAGCTGAACAAGAAAGTCCCAGTCTCCCAGTCTATGTCTAGGCGGGTAATTAATTCCTCAGCCCTCTAAATCCCTTTTCTCTTCCTCATCAGTTCCCGTAATCTCATCCTTCCCCAAGCTAGCTCTCTTCATTCTCCCCATCTTTCCTCCTTGGTTCCCTTGCCTCTTCTCTTTAACTTCCCCATATTTCCTTTCTAACCTCAGAATCCCTATTTTTCCTTTTCACTTCCCTCATCTTTTTCCTTCAGGCCGCCTTTACCCTTCCTATCTCTGCCTTCTAGCCCCCACCTCTGTATTCCCCCCATCTTGCTTCCTAAGTCCTTCCATCTTTCTCCCTGAGAGAGAGGAGGAGGGAGCTGAGGAGGGGGGTTGTGTTTGAAGAGGGAGGGAGAGGAAAGAGGAGCGAGGCGGGAGAAGGGAGGGGGGAGGGGAAGAAAGGAGGAGCATCCTCTCTCCAGCCCCCCTCCCTTCACCCCCCACTCCCCCATCCCCCAGCCATAGGACCATAAATCAGAGCCTGGGAAGCTTAGCCAATGGCAGAACAACTCGTAAATCGGCCTGTCAGGCTCAACCAATGGGGCAGGGCGCTAAATCAGGCTCTGTCAGAGCTTAGCCAATGGCAGCCCCTGAAATGACCATAAATCTGCCAGAGAGAGACAGAGAAAGAGAGAGAGAAAAAGCAGCAGAGAGAGGGGAAGAGGGTAGAAGGGAGGGGGAGAGAGAAGAGGGAGGGGGAGGGAAAGGAGGGGAGAGAGAGAGAGAGAGAGAGAGAGAGAGAGAGAGAGAGAGAGAGAGAGAGAGAGAGAGAGAGAGAGATGCAGAGACTAACAGAGAGAAACATACATATGCTGAGAAGAAAAGGAAAGTGAGACAAGGCAGGAGAAGGAATCTGATGAAAAGACACAGAACTGCAGCCCAAATAAGAAACAGAGACAAAGAAGTATTAACATGCACCTCACAAAAAAAACCTTGTGCCATGCTCCCAACACAGAAACACACATGCACGCAGAAGCGCTCGGAACTTAATGAATTCATCCATTATCCATCATGCTTACACTTGGGCATACATGCATACATTCACTGCCATCCATATTTTCACTCTGATCACATAGGCTGCAGCCATTTGAAGCTCAGAAGGGTGCTGCTGCTTCCTAGGCACCCTCTTCCGGAGTTTACATGAGTCCTTTCATCCTCTTACCCAAGAAGGGGTGGAAGGGCTATTGTAACCCGTTTAATTTACTTTCTTACCCCGTATTGGTTTCAAATTCTCCCTGCCAACTGAGATATCTTTTCTGGAGTCTAACCCCAAAGCCTATTGCTGCAATGGAAGATCATGTTCTCTTGTTTCTACCGATTACCTCTGTGGAGACTTTATAATTATCCTGCCCATCTTTCTCTTCTCTCCCCCCTTCCCTTTTCCTCTTCCTTTTCTCACATCTTTTCCAAGAGTGAAGATTCTACTGTGTTTATGAGTAATTTATTTTGAGAAGGGGGAAATATAGAAGATTAGATTGGGAGGTCACATCCTTGAGTCCCCTGAATTTCCTATATGTGATACTGTCCATGTGTTTGGGGGCAGGGGTGGGGGTGGAGAAAAGAAAACAGGAAGATCTGTGTCTGTCTCCATTTCCCCCTGAACTGGCTTCTCTCTATGAGTTCAAGTCTTCTTAACCCTGGGGGGCCTTGGCAGTGTTTAAAAGAGGTAGATCTCAGTGTCTAACTTTGCTTTGATTATAGGAATCACCCTTCTTCATCAGTTCCTCCATGGCTCAGAATGGGAAACTTCTCCCTCCAGTCTTTGGGAGATAGGAAAAGAACTGAGGAAGGTGATAGAACTTCTGAGCAGATGCCCACCCCCACCCCCACCCCCATAGGTGGGAAAATGTGAAACCAGCATCATCTAGTGGCCACATGTGGTCCATGGACACACTACCTTCCCACTTCCCTCTTCCCAGCATGGGGAGGCCCTGGTCCCCTGTATGGACTCCCCTGGCCCCTCAGGTTCCTTCCCTGTCGTCCCAACTGTTCCTTTTTCACAAGGCAGGATGATGACTGCAGCTGATGGGGGTGGGGTAAACAGCAATGTGAAGGCCAGAGTAAGGGCTGTAAGCTAGGCATTCTAGCTTCTAACCCTAACATGCCTACTCCCAATATCTGTACCCAGTCATTTCTTGATCAGTTTCCTAGTCAAAGACAGAACTTAGACATTCTACCCTCAAGTGATGTACTACTCAAAGGTGTCTCTGAATAGGTTGTGACTAGGACCAGTGACACTAGAGCTCCTGCATTTCCGGGATGTGTCCATTTATCCAAAGAAGCTGAGGGACCTTAGGAGAAAAGGAGTTAGGGCTACAAGGTGGGGCATTCTGGAAATTTTAACCAAAAAACTTGCAACTACATGCAAATGGATATGCAAAATGGCTTTAATTAGTCTTTGAAATCTTCCAGCTATGAATCCTGGTTATCTTTCCCTTACCCTCCTAAGATTATAGGATTTTAGAACAGGAAGGGACCTTAGAGATTATATAAATGAAAGGTAAAGTGATGGTCTCAGGGTCAAGCCTAAAATTCAGGCTTCCTAACATTCAGCCCAACTTGAGCCCCAGCCCTGGTTCCTCTTTGTCAGGACCCAAATTAGAGAGACAAATATCACCAAGCCTGTTTATTAATAGTAATGCTAACACAAGGGTAGAGGATGGGGAAGCTAAAGAGATGGGCACAGAAGAGACCCAATCCATGATGATGTCCACATGTCCTGCTGGTGCCCATGGCCATGATGCCCCCACTTCGTTGGTAGTGTAGGTGGGACCCATTTCCTGCCGGTGCCTAAAGTGTTACCGGAGTCTTCGGAAACTCTGGGGTCCCCGTCTCAGGATGCACCCATATGCCTCACGGAACTGACGGTTCATGGCTGCATAAAGTACAGGGTTGATGCAACCATTGAGCCAGGTAAGATTGGCAGCAAGCATGTGCAGGATTCGTGGGGCCTGAACCCGAGCATCAAATATATTAAGAAGCAGAAAAGGGATATAACTGAGGGAGAAAAAGAGGAACACCACAAAACACATCCGAGTCACCTTCCCAAACTCCGATGGGCCATCCTGGGCCTTCTTAGTTGCTTTAGCAGGTGGCATGCGGGTAGCCACCCCTTGGCTGCTCTTTTCTGCCCTAGATACTCTGTTGTTTTCCTGGCTTCCTGTTTTAGATGAGTCATTCTCCAAGGTGTGGGTTGTTGCAGTACTGCCTGGCTCAGATGATGTCCCCTCACTGGCCACCCCTGATGCCAGACCACTGTCCAGCTCTTGAAAGTGTCCAGGTAGGGCTTCTCCAACTCCAGCAACATTTCCAGTTCGGAAGCTGGCCTGGCGAAGTTTGTACTGGTCCAGTGCCCGGGCTGCCCGCCTCACTTGACGGTGAATGAGGCAATAGAAGATGCCAACAGAACTGAGCCCAAGCACAAAGTAGATGCCCATTAGGATGGTGGTGTAAGGACGACCCCGGATTCTATCAAAGCTACATGTACAGACGACAGGCACCAGGATGTAGATGGGCCAGAGTGGGGCAAAGCTCACCACACCCACCACCCATGTACTGACCAATGCCAGTGCCACCCTCTTGGCTGTGAAGATCCGGGGGAAGAGGGTAGGGTGGGCTATGAGAAGGTATCTGCCAAAGGCAATGAGGCAGAGGGTAAGGATGGAGACAGAGTTGGTGGCAAAGAGCAGGAGACCAAAGATCCGGCAAAAGATAGCCCCAGTACGCCAACGAAGATAGAGGTAGGAGTCCACAGAGAATGGTTGAAGAAGAGCACAGTAGATGAGGTCGGCCAAAGTGAGGTTGGCAATGAGAAGGTTGAAATGGGTACGGAGCTTGGGCTGGACACCCAGGATTATCAAGGTAAGCAGGTTGCCAACAGTGCCAGTCACTGCCACCACCACACCCCAGCTCACAGCAACATAGCGATAGCCCACTACTGATGGGTGGTAGCAAGAAAAGTTGGCATCATCAGAGGTGTTCAACATAGTTGAGAGTCCAGAGGGTCAGAACCGGGTATCTGCAGAAGGGAGAAAAGATCAGAAGTTGGAGGCACAGGCTCTCATCTTGTGTAAATCCCCTTTTTGCAGTTCAGTGACATTACTCACCCAAATTTTATCCAAATTTTACAACTCAAAAATTCCCTCACACCTCTTCCTAGGCCTTTTCACCTTTCTTCTCCCTTCCTAATCCCTCCCACAATCCTTAACCTTCTCATTATCTTCCCAAGGACTCTCTTTATCTTCAAAGACTGTCAAATTAACTTGTTGAACTTCCAATGCTTTCTTCTTCCCTCCCTCAATACTGCATCCAATGGAATGGGGGTCAGGATGCCCTCTAACCACTTCCCTGGTTCTGTCAGAACCTCCAGTGCCTCAGTGAACCCAGGTCTGTCCCTCCTTGGGAAATAAAACATAAAATAGAAAGGATATGTAGATCTTCCCTGGTTGGCTCCCGTACCCCAGTATACTTCCCCTTTTTACAATAATATAATGCAAAGCCAACTTACCTAACTTATAGGCAACTGGTGGTTGACAACAGTGAGCGATGTCTAGTCTTCAGCATCTGAGATGGATTTTATACCCAGAAAGTATCTAAAAAGTCCAAAGTTGCCAAATTCTCTGGTCACATCCTTCTTCCTCTTCACCCATCTCTGGCCTCTTTTCTCTATTCCGGTATGGCTGATGAAGTGCTGGCTGGCTCCTCTGTTGAAATACCTCTACCCACTTCCTTGCTCCAGACCCCTCCAATTCTTGTCTGTTCCCTTCTTAGAAACCAGATTCTTCATTTCCTCAATCTCCATCTTCTCCCCCCACTCCAACCTCATGAAGCAGGACTCCTAAGTTCAATCACATCTCAAAGTGGCAGAGGCCATCTTGTCTCACCTATACCTGTGTGGGAGGCCCCTCTATATCTCCTCTCCCAACATATGGTCATCTTCTAGAAGACCTCTAGAAAAGGGAGCTCACTAGGTGTCTTTCCAACATCAGATGGCCCTACCCCACCCCATTTTATATATGAGGAAAGAGAGGTCCAGAGAAGTGAATTACTCAAGGTCACAGAGGTAATAGGTGGCAGAGTCAAGATTTAAGACCAAAATGATGGCTGCTTGGTGGCATAGTGGGTAGAGTGCCAAGCCTGGCCTCAGACATTTACTAGTTGGGTGACTTTGGACAAGTCACGTAACCCTGTTTTCTTTAGCTTCTTCATGTATAAAATGAACTGGAGAAGGAAATGGAAATCTCTTCCATTAGTTTTGCCAAGAAAATCTCAAGCGGGTCATGAAGGGTCAGACACAACTGAAAAATGACTGAACTGATGCCTCCAAATCCAGGTCTTTTCCCATTATCCAGAGATATTATCATAAGTTCCTCTCCTGAGGAAGTGTTGACTTCCATTTCCCTAAGGCCAGGAGGCAGCTGAAGTTTCTTTTTGTTTTTTTGGTTAGGCGATGGGGTTAAGTGATTTGCCCAGGGTCACACAGCTAGTAAGTATTATGTGTCTGAGGTGGGATTTGAACGCAGGTCCTCCTGAATCCAGGGCTGGTGCTCTATCCACTGCACCACCTAGCTGCCTCCTGAGGTATCTTTTCTAGTAATCCCTCCTGTCCTAGTAAGGGAGACCAGGTAAGATGGTAAACTGAGACAAGATTCAGGCGTCCGGGATCTCTCTCTGCAATCAGCCAGCATTTATTAAACATTCAGCAGTGTGCTCTATACTTCCACAGAAGTGCAAGTTCCGAGCCAAGTGTCCAGAAATGTCCTCTACCCCCACTGCCCTCACTTCAGCCTTACTTTGAAGTGTCCCACCATCTCTCCCCAGGATATTTCCAAACATTTGCCCTCTGCTTCAATGGCATTTCTCCAGCCCCTGACTTTCTCTCCTCCAGTATTCTCTGTCCTTTCTTTCCTCTCTCCATCCCCACCCCAAAGCTCTCCAGCCCTTGTCCTTCCTTCTCCCTTCAGCTGCTTCCTATCTTTCTCCAATGTCCTATTTCTCATTGAGACTAAGGCATGAGTAAAGGAGCATTTGTGGGGTTCTGAGTTAAGCTCTCTGTTTCCAATCTCCCTTCTCAGTGTTTAGGTCAGGGGTTCCCAATCTATGGTTGGAGTATCCCAAAGGGGCGTCAAGAAGCTTATCAAAAGGGCTCAGGGAATATTTAGTAACTCACTATTGTCTTACTGGAATTAATCTTTTCATTTTACTTGTGTGCATATGCATGGTAGATTCTAAAACGTATTCCTTTCATATTGAATAGAGGATATGGGAAGATTACTGAAAGCCAGGATGTAGACAAAAATGTTGGGGAATCCTTAGCAGTGGTCCTCAAAGTGTGATCCTTGGACCCTTTCAGGGAGTCCTAGAGGTTAAAAACTTTTTATAATGATGCTAAGGTTATTAAAATATTCATCCCTTTTCTAACTACATATCTGTGTGATTTTCTTCATATATTACAACCAAAATAACACATTGCAACTGATTGATTGCAGGAGCAAATATGAGGAGCTAATCCAACTGTCTTCTAGAAAGCCAGTCATTAAAGAAATTTGCAAAAATATTTTTAAAACAATGCCGCTCCTCCCAGTAATTTTTTTGTTTTAGAAAATATAGTTATTCTTCATAAAAATGTTAACATGTAATGAATTTATTATTGCTCATTTTTAATGACAATAAATATTTTAAATTACCAGTCTTCATTTCTAATACAGAAAATATCGATAGATGTAACCCACATAAATAAAAGCTCTTTTGGGGTCCTCAATGATTTTTAAGTGAATAAAAGGATTCTGAGTCCAAAGAGTTGGAGAACACCTGGTCTTCTAGACAAAGATGGGACCCGTTTAATAAGAGATTGGGGAGGAGAACATAGGGCTGAATTCTGAGGGAGAACCTGGTTGAAGACACGACTAGGGTTCTCTCATACAAAATCTGAATGTGTGCACGTGCGCTTCTTGTAACATGCACACACACACACACACACACACACACACACACACATGTCTCAAAGTGTGTTGATTGTGTCAGGTAGAGATGAATGTGGGTCCTCGTGGATCGTTGTGTGTGATCGTCTCCCACAAGAAGCTCAGTCACTCGGGTGTCCCTATCCACGCATTCGGAAGTTGCGCATCTCTAGAGGGATAAGAAGCTTCAGCTAGAACTGGGGAAGTACTGTTTTACAGTGCTAACTACGCTTCTCCACCCGCCGGTGCCTCTGAGGGCTGGAGCTAGCCTCTATTTGTGTGTCTCTGACGCCGCCTTGTGGAATCGCGGTGTCTCTGAAAGCAGGCAATTGCCTTTCCTGGATGGCTGAGCTTAAGTATTAGAAGTTGTGGGAGGAGGAGGAGAAAAGCGGGGAGGTGTTCCTCACTCAACTGCTCAGCTGGAGATACCAACCATTTCCACCCCCTCCACCCTCTGGCTCCCGGTGCCCCCCCCCCCGACTCAGTAGCCCGTCCAAGGAACCAACCACTCAGGGGAATGGTCACCGGGGGTGGGGGGAAAGAGAAGGAAATTGAGAGACTGAGATTTGGGGAGGGAAGGGCAGAACGGATCTGGACTTTATTGTTGGGAGGCGGAAGATGCTACATCATCAAGCAGAAACAGGTGATGGTGGTGGTGCAGATGAGGGGCCGCCTCCCCAGGACTGCAGGAATTAGACAACACCGAGGACACTGAAACACAGAGGCCCCGCCCCCGCCCAAGTTGTGCAGTTGAGGGAGCTGGAGGGGAGGGGAGTGAGGTAATTGGGCTAGGGGTCAGGGAGCAGGGCTGCAGCTCTGGGTGCGAATCCTTCAGCGGGGAGCAGGGGGAAGGGGCTTCTATTGCTTTTTGCTCGCTCACAGTTTTGCGGCAGGCAGGGCCGGGGTGGATTCGGATTGGACGGACACCCCCTGCCCCCCTCAGTACCCCCACGGACCATGGGTGCTGGTGAGAAGACAGTGGAAACCCGGGCTGGAGGAGAGAGTACAGGCTAGGGATTGGGTGTGTGTAAAGGGGGAGGGCGGAGGTGTCACGGGATGTGTCCACCCCCCACAAAAACTGCCCCCAGTACGGGTTGGTACAGGTGTGGGGGTAGGGTGAAGGATGGGCCAGGTGGACACAGTGAGGCTGCAGGCCAAAATGCCAAAGTGCTTGTGAGGGACCCCGGATCCCACCTGTCCCCGCCATGGGGATGTTCACGGAAGCGCTTCGGTTTAGGGGTATGAGATCCGGAGTCCCAGAGTCCGATTATTGCCAAGAAAATCCGTTCCTGACCCTCACCCCTGACCCCGACCCTGGACATGGCTTGTGAACCCCGTTTTTGTGCTAGGTTTGGGGGTAGGGACTGGATGGACATGGCTTTTGGGAGAGGGGTAATCTCCAAAAGGGCTAGGGATGAGATGCCCCCCCTTTTATGAGGGAGAGGGAGGGGCAGGGGTGGGGTTCCCTGAGATCTGGGGTGCCCCCCCTTCTGAAGCCCCCCTCCCCCGCTTCCCCCTTCCCATTCCTGGAACCCCGTACCTCGGGGTGGTCTGGGGGAGGAAAGAGAGACCCCTTCCCAGGAAAAGCCAGGAGGGGGCGGGCTTGGGGGGGCCCAGAGCCTGGGTCCCAATAGGAATGGGGGGGGAGGTTGGAAGTTCAGGGTTGGGGTCAGTAGGGAGAGAAAAGGATGGGTCCGTGCGCAGTTCGGATGGGCCCAGGGGCCGGGTGGAGCAAGGGGTGAGTGAGAGGGGGCCCCTGGAGGAGCGGCGCAGCCGGGGCTGGGCGCAGGGACAACGGGGAGCCAGCCGCTGCCGCCATCACTGCGGCCACCGCCAGGGGGCTGGGGAGAAGACCGCCGGCCAAGGACTTAGGCAACTCCTTTGAGAAAGTCAGTGTGCCCTGCGGGAAGGAGAGGCAGGGGTTACCCCTTGCCTGCTAGAGCCCTGGCACCCTTTCCCCATCCATTATCTACCCCCAGAACGTCCCTCTCCACCCTCAGGCCTCGGAACGCCCCTCTGCCCCTCCCCTTAGGGACCTCTTCCCCTCAACCCCTCCCATTACTCTCATCCTCTGGCTCTGTCTGAGCACCCCGCCTCACCGCCAGTTCCCCAACGCCTCGTGGCTTCTTGTGGCGGCTCAGCAGGGGGTTAGGTTTGCCAGCCATGCCGTCCCGGTGCCGCCGGCTGGAGATGTGCTGAGGGAATGATGAGAGGAGTGTATATGGGACGGGTCAGAAATTCAAAAGGAAATTGGGGTGGGGGTAAGAATGAGGGAGGAGGGAGCTTTGGCCCGGAATGTTGGGGTGTGGAGAGGGTGGAGTTATCCACTCATTACTCTTTAAGGAAAAAAGGTACTCGCCCTGGAGGATGGAAACCGAGGCCACCCAAGATCTACTTCTAGGGGCTTTAATCCTTCCTAGGAAGCACCTCTTCCCCAACCCTGGGGGAATAGACACCAGACATCGGGAAGGCTAACTTACCTGTTTTAACTGGATCTCAGAATTGACCTTGACATTGCAGATTTCACAGTGGAAGGTCCGGTCCTGGGAAGGAGCCTCAGGTTCCCCAGGGGTGGGGGGGCCCAGCCTGGGGTACGCTTTGATGGGGCCCAGCCCACTACGTGCCTCCAGGATTGTCTTGTGCTTGGTACCTGCATTTGAGATTGGGGGGGCAGAGGTGGAGAGAGGAGACTGGAGGTT